ATAGTTTCAGCAAAATCGGTCGGCAGCCTTCTATAACGCCTGCTCAAAGAGCCTAAATGAGAACAAGTAGACTTCAAAAGTTAGACTGAGCAGATCATCTGCTTAGTCTAACTTTTAGATTTGCAAATTTCTTAGAACTATGTAAAGCGTTTTTGAATCTTCAAAATTTTGCCGGACAAGCAAATTATTAATTTCAGTCAGATTCAAGCTCAGATTCCGAATCGGCAGTGTCCGAAAAGACAAAAGTGAAGGTCTTGCCCATCGCTGCTAAGAAGATTGTAAGTCCTTCTCATTGATAACAAACAAAATCTTTCTACCTGGACAGGATGACAGATGGGAACTCTAACACCCTATTCAAGATGTGAGATGCTTTGGTGGGTGTTGGCCCAAATAATTGAAGCTGCGAACCTTATTTAATTTTGAGTATCTACAGGTTGTCCAACTCTGTCTGGTAAAATGAAACGACTTCTAGAGTTGCCTCTGATATAACAATGATTAGGCCTTCCCAACCGTGACTACGCAGCTCAATTTTGAGGAGTGTAGCAGCAATAAACGCGTTGTTAAAGTTCTCATACCTCACGATTTTCGGCAATAAAAATCCTACAATCTCAGGCACTCAGGATAGACCGACCCTCGGCCATTATTGCTGGTCTGTAACATGAACCTTCAAGATGGTTATTGCTCATGCAGTCAAAAGGGTTTCTTATTCGCAGTTTGAAAGTTCGCCTTCTAAAAATTTCTTATGTAATCAAAATAGATATTGGAGTGAAGCAATATATATTGTGTTCATAAATTTTTGGCTGACTTCGATGACTAGTTTCCAACTCCTTTGTAGTAACTTCCTATGGACATCTATCATGCAGATTTTCTTCTTCTTTTCATATTTGATCTGGAAGTTATGCTCAGCAGTCTGGATTATGGAAGAGCCAAAAGCGAAACAGAATGACCTAATTAAGTAGAAATTTCACCAAATAATTTATTTTTAAAAGTGCTTTTAATTATCAATATCACTATATGCATTAAGAAAATAACGAATATGGTTTTGATCTTCTTCATTAAGTTAGAATAGAACAAGCGCGAAGCGGTTTTGTAGTACTGACTGCATCGAATCGAAGAAAAACAAGTTGAAAAATGGAATGAACACATATAAAATTGATGTTGTCCTCCTCACAAGCAGTCTTCATCAGCTTTGTGTACGCACAAAAAAAAACAGTGAGGGAAGGTTTTTGTGTATAGATACTTCA